TACTCTTTTACCAACGAATAGTGGGATTAATCGTCACATTATAACGTCCCCACGGCTTAAAGGATGAGCATGTTCGGTGGGACTGGAATTCGAACCCGAGACCCGCAGATTGCGAGTCGAGCGCCCTAACTACCTAGTCATGCCGGGCTCTGAGAAATAAATGTCATGGTATTATATCTTATGTCACTGCTTATTGAACATGTACATGAACAAAGTAAATTAGTATCATTTTTAATAATTTTCCAAACTTTTCAAGGAAAGATTGTAATGTAAATATGAACCACAAAAGGATAATACCACATTAATGAGGACAAAGTAGGCTTAGCTCTTTTAAATTAGGACTATTTTGCACTTGTTAATGCAGATCGTGTTCTTGAGGCTTATCTTTTCCGAAATATTTTTCTTGCATTGTTTTTTCATAGGTTTTGTTGTTGTTAACCGCAAAGCAACACAGTGGATTATCTGTGCTTTTCCTACCAGTAAGCCGGCAGGCTTTCCACTGAGCCTTTTTATTTGGGGAGGGGAGTCTTTTTATAAGATTAACATAACTGTGCAAACTTTTTCCGGGAATTTACAGTAATCTAGGAAGCATTGCCCCCCTGTGGCACAGCGGTATGTCTACGGACTTACAACGCTAGAATCCGGGTTTCGATACCCGTGGTGTGCTGAGCACAGATAACCCATTGTGTAGCTTTGTGCTTAATTACAAACAAACTAGGAAACAACTAAAATTATAGAGGTAGAATTTGACTGGTTGGAAAACTACCCCCAACGAGTTGTGTTTGGAAAGAAGCAAAACCTGTATTTATTAAATGAATAATAATAATTTATTTTTCTAACTGTTTAGTTGTCCCAAATAACAGGAACTTACTGGAATGTCTATAGCAGTTACAAGAGATCGTGACGAAATCGCTTTCTTTTAGTCTGATTTTTATATTACTATAATGTTGGGTCTGCTTGGAGTTAGTTAAGCCTGAGAAGTGATTAAAGATAAAATAATCGTGAATGTATGCACCAGAATACTTACTTCAAAGTAACATATCCGTGAAAAGTCACTAAAAATAAAATAATATAAGAAAAGAGGATGTATGTAGTGACTTTTCACGGATATATTACTTTGAAGTGGGTATTCTCGTTTTTCTTATATTATTTTATTTTTGAGGATGTATGCACGAGAATACTCACTTCAAAGTAATATATCCGTAAAAAGTCACTAAAAATAAAATAATATAAGAAAAGAGGATGTATGCACGAGAATACCCACTTCAAAGTAATATATCCGTGAAAAGTCACTAAAAATAAAATAATATAAGAAAAGAGGACGTATGCACGAGAATACCCACTTCAAAGTAATATATCCGTGAAAAGTCACTAAAAATAAAATAATATAAGAAAAGAGGACGTAT